CAACTGCCATGTGATTGGTTGACAATTGCATTAATGAGAAATTGAACAGGTGTTCCTAATAATCCTTTAGGTGAGTGTATATTCCAATTGAAGTTATACAATGGGCATGGACATAAAGTGCAGACTCTCAGATTTCATTTTAGGCTATCCACATTCAAATGAAGGGTTTAGGAGTTTCAGCTGGTTAACATGTGCCACCCTCTTTTTAAAGGGGCCAAGAGTAATTGGACAATTCACTTAAAAGCTATTTCATGGATAGGTGTGGGCAATTCCTTTGTTCTTTCATTATCAATTATGCAGATAGAAGGCCTGGAGTTGATTTGTGGTGTCTTGTTTGCATTTGGAAGATTTAGGTGTGAACATACAACATGCGGTCAAAGGAACTCAGTATACTGGTGAAACAGGCCATCCTTAGGGTGCGAAAACAGAAAAAAACTATTCAAGAAATTGCCACAACATTAGGAGCGGCAAAATCCACAGTTTGGTACATCCTGAGAAAGAAAGAAAGCATTGGTGAACTCAGCAACGCAAAAAGGCCTGGACGTCCACGGACGACAACAGTGGTGGATGATCGCAGAATCATTTCCATGGTGAAGAGAAACCCCTTTGTAACAGCCAACTAAGTGAACAACACTCTCCAGGAGATAGGCGTATCAGGTTTCCCCCAATTCTGGCAGAATAAATTTCCATAACTTTTCCAAAACTTTCCAGTATCATAAGAAAATTTTCCAAATCCCACAAGTTTATAAAACTAAAGTAGATAGAACAGTATTTGTATAAGGTAGTTAACTATTGATTTCCACTCGTACATTTCCGTTAGAACGTTGTGGAACGAAGTAGGAAACAAAAATGAACAGGGCTAGTTTCCAAAACTTTTCCTCTCTATCCAAGAATTCCAAAGCTTATCCAGGGCCTGGAAAAATTATTTCAAAATTCCAAAACTTTTCCAGGTTTTCCATGACCGCGGGTACCCTGGCGTATCAATATACAACGCTACCATAAAGAGAAGACTGCATGAAAGCAAATACAGAGGGTTCACTGCAAAAAAAACATCTAAAAAGCCAGCACAGTTCTGGAACAGCATTCTTTGGACAGATGAAACCAAGATCAACCTGTATCAGAATGATGGAAAGAAAAAAATATGGAGAAGGGCTGGAACAGCTTATGATCCAAAGAACACTGCATCATCTGTAAAACATGGTAGAGGCAGTGTGATGGCTTAGGCTTGCATGGCTGCCAGTGGCACTGGGTCTTTAGAGTTTCTTGACGATGTGACACAGGATGAAAGCAGCCGAATGAATGTTGAGGTGTTCAGAGACATCATGTCTGCTCAAATGCAGCCAAATTGATTGGACGGCATTTCATAATACAGATGGACAATGACCCAAAACACACAGCAAAAGCAACCCAGGACTTTATTAAAAGCAAAGAAGTGGAATATTCTCGAATGACCAAGTCAGTCACCTGATCTCAACCCCATTGAGCATGCATTTCACTTGCTAAAGACTAAACTACAGACAGTCAAAGACCCTCAAACAAACAGCAACTGAAAACTACTGCAGTAAAGGCCTGGCAGAGCATTAAAAAGGAGGAAACCCAGTGTCATGGTCATGTCCATGAGTTCAAGACTTCAGGCAGTCATTGCCTGCAAAGGGTTTTCAACTAAGTATTAGAATCAAACATTTTATTTGTAGTTATATTAATTTGTCCAATTACTTATGAGCCCCTGAAAGGAGGGGATTGTGTAGAAAAAATGCTTTAGTTCCCCACATTTTTATGCAATGTTTTACCCACTGAATTAAAGCTTCAACTGCATCTGACTTGTTTCTTTAAAAATTTATTGTGGTAATGTACAGAACTTAAAAATTGAAAAAAATTGTCTCTGTCCAAATATTTATGGTCCTGACTATTTATCTCCATGCAGGGCTAGACATAAGCCGCGGCACCGCGGCCAATGGCCGTCGTGCCTTTCAAAATTGGCCGCACGCCTCCTCAAAATTGAAGTACCTTACGGCCAAGATTGGCCTGCCTTTAATGTTTGTCTGGCCGTATGCCCCCTTTTTACCGAGAGTAACATTCATTACACAAAAGACTTGCGCACGACACGGTCCACTTTACCTCGTCAACAATCGATGCATCTGTACTGAACCCGAACCCAACCTTCGATACGAGAAACGAGGTCGACCCGCACATCTCGTAATTCCCAACTACTGAATGAACCGCAATGAATTCTGGACTAATACGATCATGTGTTTGTCGCATGATTGGCTGGTACGGTATGTATCGTCCAGCCTACTATGGAGCCACAGCAATGACAATGGTGCATCATCGGGGGTTACGTTTTTGATTGGAAAAGCCATCCGACGGTTTCCGAATAACAGATAGGTGTCCTCTTCGGTAATCATCGTGTAGTTGTCGTCTGCTGCTTATGCTGTCACCATGCCTCGCAAAGATCGAGAACGTAAAAGAAAGCAAGCTGAACTCGCGGCTACTGCCGCAAAATGTTGCAAATTATCTACTTTGTTCAGGTAAGTGTCAGATGGTGTTGTAAAAAAACATTTGCCGAGGCAGAGCAGATTTGACTCAGAGAAGTACCAAGCTCTGCTGGGAGGATATAGGACTGGTAGCGTGCAGTGTGCAAAAAACGAACGTCAAGTCAATTGTCATGTACACTAAAAGAATACGGGTGTTCTGAGCAAACAAATACAAAAATATTGACGGCTCCTTTATTGTTGGATTTTGTTTTTTGAAATAAAGCTATATATATCTATAAATATATATATATATATATATATATTCTGTCTCAAATCGAAGGTCGTATTGCATAGGTTGTCTAAACTTGGTAATTACAGTAATTTTGGCCTTGTGCCCAGGCTTAATGGCCTTGTGCCCTAGAAAAAATATGAATAGCCAAGGCCAAAGTGGCTGTGCCCTCCTAAATCCTTATGTCTAGCCCTGTCCATGGGGAAATAAGTTTGCAGCATAATCACAAAGCATTTCAGATATATTGTAATCCACAGCCTACCAACCTGACTGAGTTCTCCCCCACTGAGGGAAATCCATTTGATCAGGTACGACAAAACATCACTGGCTGCCGTGTCCCAACGCACAGTGATGTCACTTCCTGAGAAGTTTGTCACTCTCAAGTCTGATGGCGCGGGGACCCTCACTGTGAGGGGAAAAGGAGAGAGAAAAATGGGTGGCATTTCACTCTGCATCATAGATCTACCGGAATGGCTTTTGTTTGTGCTATAAAGTTGGAAAGTGCTATAAAGTTGGAAAGTGGAAAACTTTATTCAAAAAAGTTTATTCACCCATATCTCAGATTTTGTCCTAAGAGCTAAATATCTTCAAGCTCCCTACTCCATCCAAAGGTGGTAAAACAAAGGTAACAAACAAAGCTTCTCTCATTTTACTAGCCAGCGTATTCTTTAACACTTCACTATTCAAGTTGAAAAGCTAAACAGCATACTGATATTGTTTATTTGTAGTAGCCAAGGTTGTTATTATCTTCTTAAGCATGGATGCTGGAATCTCTGCTCTGTGTGGAAAGGATCACCTGTAATGGACAAGGGAGGGAAGCAGTGTCTTACAGGTGGTGACATTGGCGGTGACGGGGGCAGAGAGGCCCTGTTCAAACTTGGAGCGCACGGACACCAGGTACCTGGACAGGGACGAGAGGTTCTGAAGGAGCACAGAGTTTACTCCTGTCACCTCCACCTGGCAGGAAAAGAACGTGAAATAATAAAAAGGTGTCATACAGATGGTAACCTTTCTTATCCCATCATATGGTTCATTATCTCCCATAAAACAATCACCAGTAACACTGTATTAAATTATGTATTACTATCCTATTACTTATGTATTCATTCACCACAAAATAAGTCTTAGTTGCATACTGATCTCATGTTAATTCATCATTAACGAATCCTGATACCAAGCAATTACTATATTTGTTACTATATCTGTGATCTATTGTAATTAAGAAGGTACTATCTATGAACAGTCAATAATTAATTGTTATCTGTAACTTATCATTGATTAACTTCTGTCCATGACTGGACAGTCAAACAAGTGTTGTCCAGTTGGGAAATCTGGGCTGCTGACCTGCTTGACGTCACTACCATGGTTAGTGCTATACGTGATGAAGTGGCTACGTGAATCCACAGAGCCTGGGGTCCAGCTAACCATCACTGTGCTATGGCTGACCAAGGGGAACTGCAGGCTCTGAGGGGCTGGCAGTGGAACTGCAAGAGAAATGGTGAAAAAGAGGGAGCTATTAGCATGCATAACCATGCCCCAAGTGCTCCCAAGGTATGTATGGATGTTACCATAAAATTATATATTTGTTGTCTCTTGTTATGTTCTGTTATCCTTATATGTGAAGTAAAATGCAATGCATGAACCCGAACTCAATTAAAGACAGTGAAGGAGAAGGTTTGGGGGTAAGGGAATGAGAGCAGGTTAGGGGAACATCTGGTACCATCTTGTCTGTCAGTAAATGTGCTGGCTTCATTATTTAGCTGTATCAGCATTTACTTTTCATTCAATGTTAATGTGCTTTGGAGAGGGTGTTCCCCTTCTTTGTGGTTTGTACTTCCTGGGACAGCCTCCAGGATCCCTCTATGACACTGAACTGAATCAGTAATTTCAGAACAGATGTATGGTTTTGGACACTGTGGTATTTAAGCAATAAATTAAGCTCCACTTTGACATTTTAGAAGACAGTGTAACATGAAGTGTGTGGATGGCTGGGGAAAGTTAAGGAAGAAGTCCTTCACTGTATAAAATCAGTATAAAGCAGTCATCTGTTTTGTCTCTCAGGACACCACATCTCCAGGCCTGGTTGCCTATCTATAGACCTGGGGGTATATTTAGTGCCGGGGCTACAAGGGCACTGGCTTCGGCTGAGAGCTGACTGGCCCCCTTCCATCACTCACTGATTAAAAACATATCATTGGTTGACCCCTCTCTATAAATTAAGGTCCCTCTTATGGCAAATAAAATTTTTAAAATCCTATAACCACCATTGTATAGACCTAATGTCCATCGTCTTTCTCTTTGGCTGAAATGTCCGTCTATCATATTTGATCCTCTTCCCCAGTTTGTTAAACCTCAAGTCCTTGTTCTGTCCTCCCATTCCAGCAGCACATGGATCACAAATTCGCCATCCCTCCTGGGGCAAGTTTCATAGATTGTTTGAAATGACACAGCCCAAATAAAATAGGATAGTGTGGAAGACAGCCTGCTTTGTTCCCTCACACGTGGTAGCCATGGCAGTGCTGGGGTCACTTGCGTCCTCGTCATACAGGGCGTAAAGGGTCACCGAGTAGTCTGTGGATGGCATCAGACCCGTCAACTCGACATCCGTCTGCTCCAGGCCAAACTTTACCTAATGGCAGGATTTGTACAACGCACAGACACACAAACTCTATCACATAGTCAGCCACAATAAGGTCCATCATGTAACCCTGATCTGTCCAGATCTGGCAAAAAGGCTGCAACAGTCCTGATAACTGTCGCCCAGTGAATATTGCCACCAGCTGTCCAGCGTCTCACCTCCTTTGCATCCTCCGGCTCCCCGTTGGAAAGGGCAGAGTAAAGGACCATGTACTCCGTGGCCTCAGGAGTCAGGTCCCACTGTACACGCAGACTGCTGGGGGAGGATGCAGTGACTTCCAGGGCCTTGGGGGCGGCAAACGGCACTAACAGCCAGGGAACGGGAGAAAAGATGCAGGATATAAAAGGAGCACACCACAGATATCCATGGCGAACTTCTCGTCGCAGGTCGGCACAAAAGCAACGTACGTGTGGAAAAGGTTCCTCTGAGCGCTGGGCCCATGCTGTCCTCATAGATGGGAAAGATGGAAACATGATACTGGGTCTGGGAGGAGAGGCCCCTCAGCAGCACGCTGGAATCCGTCCCACTCACCACCACCTGCGGCCAAAGTGCTCTGGTTTATGACATGTGACAAGACTCACTTATCCGGCCACAGTGCAGCAGGTGAGACTGGCTCCAGAAACGATGGTTCTCTAAGTGGAACCATCTAAGAACAAGCCTGCATTTCCACTGGTTAAAAACAACATGCATAACACATGGTGAGTACACACATAGATAAACATGTAACATTTTAGAATTTGTTCAACAATGTCTTTTGATGGAAAATGTTTTGGCTAATGCTAACAAGCACTGGCTCTTAAGTTAGTATTAATTGAAACATTATTTTTTTGCAAAACATTAGCTAGCTACAGTATAAAGCATTACTAATTAATATTTATAACTAATTATTTGCTGAATTTTTGCAGTTATAGAGATGATGGGCATCACCCATTGTTTGGACAAATCATCATTAAGTCATTGGTGAGACATAACAGTCCTTGGATTCAATTGGACGCTGTTCATCCAAAACTTCAGTCATTTGATCACATATGTCACTGTCGTAAACATATACTCCGGAGAGCAAGCACCAATTTTTGATTATGTGTACCACAATCATTGCAAGGCTGGCTACCGACAATGAATACAGAACTGTGGGGCACTTTTTTTTCCATCCCGCACCACATAAGTGAGTTTTTTTTTGTAGTTTTGGCAGAATGTTTTCCGTTTTTCAAATTAGTTTACAATTTGCTGCATTTTACCAATGTAGCCTGCTTTCTCCAGCTCTACTTTAATTTCTGCATGTTTTTAGCAAAAGCTAAAATCAAACAAAAATCAAACACTGAAAATAACAAGTGCATCTGAAATTTTCAGCGCATTGTAACCCCTCCCCATGCGCTGACTTCATGAGTTCACACTTTAGATCTTTCTGCAGGGTTAGTTAGAGCTACAGACCAGAAATATGGCACCCTGAGACACACACTGCAGCCTACACCTCACCTCCTGTGGACTGTGGCCCTCTGAGTTGTGGAATACCACTCGGTACCATGCCACAGCTCTGCTTGGGGCTGTCCAGCTCAGCTGGACCTCCCTAGATCCCAGCTGGGACAATACCAGATCAATGGGGCTTGGGTAGGACAATGCTGGGTCTAAGGTTGGCTGCTCCATTCCTGCTCGATACAACAACAGCATTACCAAAGGAAAGCCATAAAACACTGTCAGTGGCAGATTTTGATAAATACATAGCCCTATTAACTACAAAACAGAAAAATATTTCATTCAGGCAATATTCACAGAGGATTAAACATTTCAACTGATGTTTTTACTCTCAGGATAAATTTTGAAACAGTAAATCCACCATTATCTGTAACCTAGGGTGACCAGATAATCCATGTCAGGGAGGACACTGAGCTAAGACAGGATTTACAAACTACCAGGTTAACTGGAGAAAGAAACATCCACCTGTTTTCAATTACAGTTTTTTACAATCGCTATGACAGTTTTTTCAAAACATTTAACAAGTTTCCTAAACTCTTAACGCACCATCACACCTAAAACACACAATTGACAAAACGGTTAATTTTATGCTCAAAATCACACATTGTAAACTAAACCCCAAAACTAATTTTCAAAATACAATAATAAACTACCACAGTACAC